CGGAGCTCAGGGACAACATGTGCTTGTTCGCGTTGTATGTATAACCGGACTAAACTAGTTCAGTGGCTTAAACGTGATTGTTTTGAACATAAGCTGAAAACGAAATCAGAGTGTTCCTGCCAACGACTGTAGTTTCCATCACCTCCCAAAAGACGACGAATCTTCCTGTGTACATTTGTTTAAATTCTTAATATTCTATAAACTTTTATCAGCATGTGTTTGGCTGTTCTCTACTGATGTTGCACCTAAACTCAGGATCAAAGCCTGTGTTGACAGAATACCAAATGTGCCAGTTAATGTATTGAAGTAGCACATTCATTTATAATTTTAAATAAACTCCAATGCACAATGACTAAGTGTGTATTTTTTATTTTAATTGTTTGTCAGCTCGCACAACTGTCTGTCACCATGCCTTGATGAGTATTGATTATTAATAATGTTATTATAATACTCCCAATCAACTACTGCGGAGGGTAAAGGTACTGTCCCAGATAGCAAACTGACATTGAATCAACGTGGAAATATGACATCGAAACAACGTTGATCTGACATTGTTTTGCTCATCGAATTAACATTGAACCAACGTCAGATGCGTCATTCTTTCAAAACTAACGGAAAATCAACCTGAAATCAACGCGTTGTTTCAACGTTATGAAAGCAAACCAATTTTCGATTTCATTTAGCTTTGAAGAATGCCGCGTCTGACGTTGGTTCAACGTTAATTCGATGAGCAAATCAACGTTGTTTCAATGTCACGAGAGACGTTGTTTCCACGTTGATTCAATGTCAGTTTGCTGTCTGGGGTTATTTCACCTTTTTAATTTCGTTGAGGTTGTGTTCCCACATCGTTAGCTAGTTTGGATCGCTATAACTTGAATGACTGTCAACTGTTGAATGAACGAGTGTCAAGCATGTCAAATCGTGCTTTGTTTACTTCCAACCGGAAGTCGCGCCCACTTTTGACGCAAGGCCTCATGGGGCGTAGGAAACTTGTGGATAGAAACTTTACAAAAGAAAACATTGCTATTATGTGTTGTCATTGTTTTTGCTATAGTGTTATAGAAGAATAACTTGATTTTGAATGGGAAATAAACTGCTGTGCAAAGTTGGTTAGGAGAATTGTGTGAAGAGTTTTGAATAAGTGACTCAAGTAAATGTGTCCTAGCAATTAAAAAAACTGTAATAGTTATAACAATACAGTTATATTGCTTAAAAGTTGTTTGTTCCATTATTAGCTCAGTCCAGATGAAGAGGAGAAGAGAAGACGGAGAAGAGAGCGAAACAAGATGGCTGCTGCCAAAATGCCGCAACCGTAAAAGAGAACTTATTGACCTTCTGCAGGAGGTGAATAATAGGGCTGTACTGCCAATTTTTCATTAAGTGTTCAGGGTGATGAACGTGTATCTCGTTTGTCCAGTTTTAACTTTAGACTTTTGTAATTAAGCAAAGAATCTATTACGAATGACATGATGAATGAATCATCCAGGTATTAAAGGGATGGTTCGCCTAATAATAAATTCTTTCCCACAATACTTTTGCGTCAGAAATGAAGATATTTTTAAGGAAATCCGAAAGATTTTATTGTCATTTAAAAGTCAATTCACCCAAAACTCGGACGCTTCAGAACGTTGAATTTCCTGCTTGGTCTAGGGCAGGGATGCAACCTTAAAATGGATGGTGGTGAATGAGTGTGCAACATCATGAAACCACCCTGTCTCAAGCCCCAGAACTGTTTCACAACAATAACCCAAATACCCACATAATATTTCATAATAGACAAGTGTTTTTTAAGCAAAAGAAAAAAAGGGTATCTTGTTTTTTAAATGTGGCATCAAAAATAAACAAAAATATGGATCAGTTGGTTAATTGGATCAATTGGTTGCTAACGCTCCTCGTTATTAAATTCGCCCGCAAACTCGTGTCCATCTTATGCCCGCTCTGTCACATGGCCAGTTCAACCTCGTTTAAATCAGGTTATGTGTGTAAATCACGTGCCTGCTCACGAGCGCTCACTCTTACTAACAGACACACGAACAGACACACTGTCTCCGGCGCTGCTCGCGCGTCACAGAACGTTCATAAAGTGATCCCCGTTCACAGTAACCGGGTCGTCTCATTCGAAACAGCCAGCTGTTGCTGTCAGCGAGCCGCCGCACATGAATACTCATATGAGTCAGGCTGTGAATGTTAGTTACGTGCCCGCCCCAGCGCGCTCACACTTACTAATAAACGCCTCACCTCCGGCACCGCACACTCGCTACATTCCCTTTAGCACATCTAGTGGATGCATAACGCAAACCCAGTCAAACGTTTCACTGCAGTATCTTATGCATCTTATAATCTGCTGTGAAAAATTTTCAAAAATAGGTAATTCATTGAAGGTGCGCCTTTTAGTAAGGTGCGCCTTATAGCGTGGAAAATACAGTACCCTCATTAACCAAACTACCTAAACCAGGGGTTCTCAACTCCAGTCCTTGCGACTCTGCATATTGTGTATGTCTCCCTTATTTAACACACCTAGACAGAGTCTATCCTAACGAGCTGAGGATCTAAATCAGGTGTGTTAAAGTTAGGTGTGTTTCCACCGCGGAAACTTTCCCCAGGAACTAGGAACTTTGGGGTGTTACTCGGTGTGTTTACACCGCAGGAACCAGGGTCTAAATGAAGTTCAGAGTAAAAATTCTCCCCCCCCCCCAGAAAGTCCCTGCTGGCGAGGTGGTACTTTTCAGAGTTCAGGAACTTTCGGGGTGGGACTTGTGCGCTGTACAATGCTGATTGGTTCTTACCACGCTATTCTTTCTCGTTCCCGCGTTCGTCCCATCCTGTCACGGTCAATGTCCGCTGATAAAAAACGTATACTTTTATACCTAACATTACAAGCTTTTTGAATACGCTTTGGGTGCTCTTCTCTTTTCTGCCGTTTTGTTAATTACCTCGTTAGTAAACCAATCCCACACAAAAGCAGCAAAGCTTGAATCTCCTCCATACAAAACTCAAAACAAACGCGCAGGCTAGGAAGAGAAGTCGCACGCAGTTAATCTTCCCGCCTCGGACCGGTACTTTAGTACGCGGTGTAAACGCAGTAAGCAAGCGGTCTGGGGAAAAAAAAGTTCCTGTGAAAAAAGTTCCTGGGACAAATAGTTCCTGGTAATTGCGGTGGAAACACGGCTATGCACAACATGCAGAGCAGTGGGTCGCGAGGACTGGAGTTGAGAACCCCTGACCTAAACTAAAAGAAAAGAACACAAAAGTACAGGAAAATAATCTAACTGTCTAGATAACATAGCAGATCCTGGGGCCCAACAGAAGGAGGCAGAGATAGCGATAGTGGAGAACCCCGCAAAGCCGTGAGGACAAAGACCCATGGCGAAGTTACAGACTTAGAAGACCAAGGCGACACTGCCGGCTTGTGTGGCAGAGGCAAAAACAGGGTGGAGCCAAATCAGCACAGACGGAAGGAAGAGGAAGCATGGTGGAGCCCAAATGACATCGGACCATTACGAATCTGAAGAAGAGTAGAGCCAAGGTGGAGCAAATGAGCTGATAGGTTGAGTCCTGGGGACTGGACGGAGCCAGCGGTGATGGATACAATGGGGTTGGCAGGTGACAGAGTGGATGTAAATCATCTGGAGTTTCGAGGGACTAGGCAGAGCCAACAGTGATGGAAACAATGGAGTGGGCAGGTGACATGGTGGGAGAGGATCATCTTAATAGGTTACCAGGTGTGCTGGCTCTGTCGAGAAGTTGATGAGCCAGCGCTCCTCGACTGGCTCTTGAGAAGACTGCCCCCATAGCCGAACTTCAGGATGTACCTGGTTATGGACTCTTGCCTCAGGTGGAGGTTCCATCCGACTCTAGCTCAGAGACAGACGCATTGGGAGGACTTATGCGGTGGGCTCTCACACATGGTCAGTGACAGGCGCCAACTGCGATGGCTCATGACAGGTGCTAACTCTGGCCCCCAAAATGCGCCTTAGGGTGGTGATGATGCGTTTTGGGGTGGTGATGGTGCAGTGGATAAGACACATGCCTTTGGTATGATAGACCCAGGTTCGAATCCACTGCGAGACACCAATGTATCCCTGAGCAAGACACTTAACCCCTAGTTGCTCCAGAGGTCGTGGGACCTCTGACAAATATAGCAATTGTAAGTCGCTTTGGATAAAAGCGTCAGCTAAATGAATAAATGTAAATGTAAACACAAACTTTGGAGAACGGGTATCACAGTACACATTTTTTTAAAACGGTTCCGTTATTGTCTCAATGTTAAAAACAAAAACACTAATTTGTGAAAACAGTGACATCATGCGTATTACGTGTTCATTCTATAGGCGAGTTTGTTTCTTTACGAAGTGACATCGCCAACTTCTGGCATGGCATGATAGTTAGTGCAGCGCGCTGATCCGTGTGAACGGAGATCATTTTAACAATGTTGCACTTGCACAAGTTTTAACACTGTTCAAACACAGGGAAGTATTACTCACGAAAGAAAATTAACGTTGGAGCGCGCATCTGGTTTTGAATGTATGTAGATCTGTGTATCGTCGGCATTCAAATGATAATGGAGGCCGAGCGATCTCGAAGGATAGCCAAGTGGTGATAGATAGAAGTTAAAAAGTAAAGGGCCCAGCACTGACCCCTGGGGAACACCAGTGAGAACACAGCTAATCTCAGAACTATGGTCACCCATTGAGATGAACTGGGAATGGTCAGCAAAGTAGGACCGAAACCACTTCAAAACTGTCCACGTCACACCAGACACTTCTCTCAAGACGTGTGAGCATTAGACTGTGGCCAACAGTGTCAAAAGTGTCCATATTGAATTTGGTCTCACTATATTGGTACTTAGTACAAACTTGACTGGTAAAAATTACTGGTGGGCAATGGAGGAAAGCCTCGTTCCTAAGTGTTTGACGTAATGTGAAAATTACGAATTGAGAAAATGCAAACAATTCCATTGGACAATCTGGCAGTGTGTTTCAGGGCATCTGGCACTGTTTACGTAATTACCAGAAGCACATGCTAATGAGAACCAGCTGTGAATTTGTTTTCAGGAGACCGAGCGCCTGCACATGGAGCAAGTCTTGCTGCAGAGGCAGGTGAGCTTCCTGCAACAGGAGAAGGAACAGCTGAAAACGCTGCTGGCGTCCCATGCAACCACCTGCACACTGGCACAGGACAAGACTCATTCCTTGGATAACTTTCTGTCAAGAGAGCTTCAACCATCCAGAAATTCCATCGCGATTAAACAGGAAACTTTGGATGATGTTAGCGGGTCAGAGAGTTTGGCGATCCAAAATGCAGACATGCAGTGGAACTGACAGAGAAAAGCCACGACTTACACTAAATTCTGTGAAGATGATGCACTAGAGCTTTTTAATCAAATATATTTGTAAATACATAATTACCCCAACCTTACGCAAGAGACATTCTGGATTCAACATTCAACTTTTCCTGTGGTAAGAAACCCATTCCAGATGGGGATGAAATCACTTCTGGTGCTCTGTTATAACTTTTTTCCCCCCCTTATTTGTTGAATGACATGATAATTAGTCTATTATAGCATTTGTCTTTGAAATAGTGATACTTTGTAACAATGGCTGTTAATGTTTGGTATTTTTAAATGTGGTAAGTCTTACTCAATGCACTGACCTTATACTGTACATGTATCTGATTTGTCAAATACATAACAAGAGCTTGAGAAAAAGAACATCCTGATGTTGAACATATTGAACATTGTTGCCAATCGTGCAGACTGAATTACCAAGGTAACGTTATCTAGTTGGCTTTAACGTTAATGATTTGTAATGGTTAGAAAGGCACCAGATAGAATGGTTTGAAAATTATAAACCAAATCAATTATGTTTAACACATCACAGCGTATCATTTTCTAGCCAAAGTGTTTATGAATTTATAACTGTCAATATATCTTTTTTTTTAAATAAAAAAACATGTTTAAATTTGTGAACTATAATAATTATATTAAATAGAAATCAGAAATATGTAATTTCATTTGTGTGTGTGTGTGTGTGCTATACTGCAAAATTATCAGCAAATCTCTGTTTTGAACAGAAAGCACAATAACTGTTGGTTATACTTTTTAAATTCTGTAACTTCATAAGTGTACAAATACATATTATACATATTCGGTCTGTAATAATTACAATTTACGACTATTACGAACCCACTGACTATCATTGTATAGACAAAAATATAACAAAACAAAACATTTTTCTAAATATCTCCTTTTGTGATTCACAGAAGAAAGAAACGGACATAAGTTGAGTAAATGATGACACAATTTTATTTTTTTGGCGTACTATCCCTTTAAGGATTTAGCTTAAACTTTCAGTACATGCAACAAGATAGAACATGCCCGATGGAGACTATGTTGACATCTGCAAAGGAGTGGCAATACTCAGGCACACATGAAGAGCCCCCTTCCATTACATTCCATTACAAAAGGAGGAGGATTTCCACTACGCTGTGGGCATGAGTTCCTGTTTGGGATTTGGGAATTTGACTTTCAATTCACACAGGCTTTTGCGTTTTCTATTTATAGGTCACAGGATATTGTGAAAAATCCCCCAAACTTTTAATAGTTTTCTTCAGGTGTGAAGAAGGAAGAGTACTGTTAGGTGTCCGGTGTTCACACGGAGACGTTGACTCACATTTCCTTTGATAAACAAAACTTAGCATTTTACTCAATCAGTAAGATGGAAAACTACTGTAGGCCAGATGTTACTCTATAATCAAAAATGTCTTGTAAACATTCTAACACTTATATTATCACATTGGCATAATGATTAGCAATGTTTAATTTCTAAGATTATTTCAAATCACTTTCAATGCAACCGAAAATAACTGGAATAAATGGGGGGGGGGGGGGGGGGGGGTGCTTGACTGGAAGTTTCTCACACAACCACAGATCTCAGATCTTTTATCTCAACAAAGAGATCAAGACAAAATAAACCACCAATGAAAAAATCCACTGACCTAAAGAAATGTAATTTCATTGAAGTAATTTAATAGAAGTTAAATTATTAGAAGTATTCATTAGAAGTAATTTTAGTAATTTCATAAATGTAATTTTCATAAATATTTTAATGTAGATTAAAATAGTAAACTATTTTAAATTGTAATATTTGACAAAATTACTGTTTTTTTCCTGTATCAAATAAATGCAGGCTGATGAGCATAAGAGACTTACAAAAGAATAAAAAAAATAGAAATGTTTCCAAACATTTGACCGGTACTGTCCTGAACATTTTTGTAAGTGGAACTTGTCCATTGTTCATGTGATGACATCCAAAAATCAAAAGTTTATCCAATTTCCATTGGAAACAAAGTTCTTTATAGTGGAAAAGTTCTCTTTAGATTATTCAAAATTTCTTGGGATTTTTTTTTTTGGGGGGGGGGGGGGGATCTTTTAAGAACTGTTACTTAAATCAATGGTTATTTTGGAAACCTAAAATGGTTCTTCTGTATGGCATCACTTTGAAAAGACAATTTTTGGAATCTTATTTTTAAAAAGTTCTCTGCAGTTGGACACCTGTGTGAACTTGTGGAGAACTGACTTCATACATCGATTAAACACCTTAAAGTATAATTACAAAAATGACTAAGAAGAGTTGAGTTGTGAGTTCTCTTTGTCATCTAATGCCATAGACTTTCATAGTCTTTACTTGCGTCATTAAATATGTCTATTGTTCAAACTAAAATGTATCTTAGAATCTACAAAGAAAAAAAACAAAAAACAAAGAAAACCTTTGGAAAAAATTCGTAGCCTCTAGCAAATCCGGACAGGCAGACACTCCTCGCGTTCACACTTGCAGGCGTGGTTCCGAAATCCACTTCCCCCTCACCCGCATCATTACAAGTAAGTTACACATCACCAGAAACTTGGGAGACTTTAACAGTGCTTGCTTGAATGTAACTGAGCAGAGAGAAGGAAGTAGGCTACTCCAATATTATGGCAGACAAAGGACCTATTTTGACCTCAGTCATCATTTTCTACTTGTCCATCGGAGCCGCGATATTTCAAATTCTCGAAGAGCCTAATTTGCAATCGGCTTTAAAAGATTATAATGATAAAACTGTCATATTATTAAAGAAATATCCATGTTTAAAGAAGGATGATCTGGATGATATCATTAAGGTAAGCTGATTTTTATTCCAAAAGTTTAGGCAAACGATTTGGCTGGTTAGGTAAACATTTTAGAAACACTTTAGAAAGTTTTCAAGTGTTTTCAAAGTGTTTATCAAGCGTCGATCGTTGCCGACGTAAAACATAGCCTACCGTTGCTATGGTGCTCTCAATCACAAGCGATTGAGAAAGTCAACCCTTTTAGCTGGTTTTGTTTCGCATATACGCATGGGCTACAGAACTTTCATACATTATAGGCTTTACGAAACAAACCGAGACCTTGTCGTAAACGTGTCAAATATCTGTAGGTGACGGGGTTCGGGATACTAAAAAGACTGAAGCGCTATTGTTTCATGTTTGTGGACTTTTCCCCCATGGGCAATAAAAGTGGCGTAGTCATTCTCAGGAATGTGCCTTGCCAGCCACAATGTACACTCGCTCAAGCGCGACAAAGTACCACGAGAAAGCGCGCGCCCACGTGCTATGTGGAACGAATAGCAAAACAAAGCAATCTTGTGCGTTTTTGATTGTTTCGCTTTGATGCAGTTTGTGAGTTGTGTTATTATTCAAAACTACCTTCAGAACTTCTAGATATAATCTTAATATTATTTCCCCGACAACTGAATTAAGTATTAAGTCCATAACATACGCTAATATTTTGTTTTACATCTCATTCTGGTTCATTTGACTATGCTTAATCAGATAGTAGTTAATAGTTAATTAATACAAGGATATTATGCACTTGTGTTGTGTGTAACATCTAAATTACATGTTTGAAACAGGATCATTTATTTAATTTGTCACCAGTGAACATTTTACTGCAACTGAGAAGACAGTCAATTCCCTTGCAGAGGCTACACAATTACTGAAAAGATGAACTAGTTTAAATTCTGTCATAGGCTTCTATAAGAACATTTTATGAAGAACACCAGCCTAGGAAATGGCCTTCCTGTGTACATTAGTGCAGATGCTTGTTTCACAACTTTCAGTATTTGGTTTACAGTATTGATACAGTAAGGATAAATATTATTTATGTAATTTTTTTTTCTGTGTGTTTTCAGTTTGTTTTGGGATATGTTTTCTAATATGGCACTTAACATTTTAAGTGCATGTCATTTAGACTCTCTAAGGCTCTAATTGTTTGATATTGAATTAGCTGATTAAATAGTGCTATACCATAGTGCTAACATGATTATATTAAACATCGTATTTGTTTCTTGGGTGTGATGTAACATGATGTGGCTAAATAAAACCTGTTCAACAGGTTTTCATACTACGATACTGGGGTGATGTGTTTTTTTTTTTTTTTTGCATTGATCTTTTTGTTTAACCAAAGAACATTTCAGCAAAAAGTTCTTAACATTGAATCTAAAGAACCTTATTCCTATATAAAGAACAAGTTGTGCAACAGAACCATAGATGCCAATAAAGAACCTTAAACAAGTAGTTTCAGTGACAAGTCAGTATGAGATCAAGACTGTAGGGCGTCCCACTCTTTTAGTCATTTTGGTTAGGGTGTGTTTGTTTGCTTGGCCGCTAATTTAGGCATTTAAATAATAGCTATGTTTACCGTCTGCGGAGATAGGCTGACTCGTATTAGTGTATATGAAGACAGGGCTTTATTTTGCTGATATCTTTACAAATGCTTAACACTCTTCCTCTTTTCCTGTTGTTTGACTGTCTGACGAATGGAAGCCCGTTTCCGTCTCTGAGTAAAAAATAAAACCGTTAACTGTAAGATAAGGTGTAAAATATGACTTGAAGTTGCAATTGTGGAATACGTTTTTAATTATTAAGTCACAGTTGTGACATTAAGTCTTATGGTGAAAACCGGTTTCTATTACTACTAATGTGATTTAAAACACAAATGAAATAAACCCTAAAGCTGCATCTAATTATAGCTTGTAAAGGTGAAGAATTTTTCATTCATCCCCATTGTTTACATATAAACATTGTGTATTTCTTTTCAAGTTTCAGACTCTGTTCACAGTATACTCAGTTGACATTTGTATTCATTGTTATATATTGTAATTCATATTTTGTTTAATGTTTCAACATCAGGTTATGGCCGAGGCCGCTGGAAGAGGTGTGACTGTAACAACAGAGAAACAATTCAACAACTGGAGTTGGGAGAATGCCGTTATTTTTGCTGCCACCGTCATCACTACCATAGGTAGATATTCCTATAGAGACGCGTTTTTTTTTTTTTTTAAATGGCAACGATAATTACCTATTAATTGTTATTTAAGTGAAATTACTGAACTTAAATATACAAGTTTGATAAAAATCATCATTAAAGAAGAAAATTTCAAATGGCATTTAGTGGCTTTTGCATCTGAACTCTTCATATATATATATATATATATATATATACACTGTATACAGTGTATTATTTACTTACATACTTTGCATGTGACGTCACAAGTACTGGCTGGCAGGCACGAAATTCTTTCTCTAGCAACGAAACAAACTAATCAAGGATCTTGCCAGGTCGTCTCCAGTTTTAATATACTAAAGTTGGTGTTTTGAGGTGTAAACGACATATCAGATAGTTTTTGTGCAATTGGATGCACTAATGTCAAGAACACGTTCATCTGTATTTGATTTGATATATGATATGAGAAGATGAATACATGGAGAATGAATGACATTTTTACTGTTGTACTGCATCTACTTTTTACTTACAGTTACTTTGCATGCATACTATCGTACACTTATGACTATACTATAACAGATTTCTAACAGGATTAGACACATTCCATTGCTCTTGTCTGTTGTCAGATGCTATGTGGAATGGATAAGCAGGTAGGCTACAATGTTTGACATCCTACTAGCCATATATGATACAGTTGGCATACGTTTTTATTTTGTACTACTTATCAAGCTGTCATTCGCAGGCAGGCAGTGTATACATATACAGATGACTTCATCACACGATGTCACTTTGTGTACCTTATAGCTGCAAATATTAGCAAACGGACCTTTGCTTTGACTATGAAGATATTCCTGTTTTTCACCTCCCATACGACAGTGTTGTTAACCTATCCACTCTTGAAAAAAAAGATAGCTATCTGTACTTTTGTAGGCTTTCATTTTTTGTGCGGTGTAAGGTGACGAATTCTCTATATGTAACGTTAAAGTTGCTGGTAGAGACTTTACCAGCTTCAAAGCAATGAAAACAGGTGCTGTGTATGGATCACACTTTCCGAGAATGTTTCTTGATCTTTTCTTGATGTCTAATTTTAGATATCCGTGACAAATGGTCTAAATAGTTAATTGATTGTAGTATTGGAAATTTGCAAGGCTGCAATTCCCCTGGCTGGCCACTGTTTGTCGCCATTTTGTCAGCGTTTGTTGCCGCCAGGTATCCATGGTGGTCATGTGACTGCAAAGTATGAATATATATCCTATCCTAGCCTATCACTGGAAAAAAATCCATCTTTCTTTTAAATGTCTGTGTTATAAGAGTACGTTCGGCCGTTTAGCGAAGCTAATTGCTGTATAGCCTATATCCAATTTAGGCTTGGGGTCTGCCTTCATTTTGTAACTGTTGTTTGAATGGTAGTTTAGTAAATTTGTTTGGTTTGGCGTGTCCCTAATCTAACAGCCAGTTAATAAGCTGGGTTAATTCATCCTTAAAAGAACGATTTGTTGAGTAAAACAAGTCTTTAGTTTTCGGTGTCAAAGTATTATTATTAGTATTTGATTGAGTCGAGTGTCAGTTGGATTTAAGTACAATGATGGTTCCCAGATCTCCTATTGACAGAAAACAAATATTTAACATGGACTTGTCTACTCAATGATTTCAGGTTACGGTAATGTTGCCCCGAAGACAACTGGAGGCCGTATGTTCTGTATCCTGTATGGACTCTGTGGCATTCCTCTTTGCCTCACCTGGATAAGTGAGCTGGGTACTTTCTTTGCCGGCAGGGCAAAGCGCCTGAGTCAGGTGCTCCTCCACAGAGGCCTCGCCGTGGTAAGAATATCATGATCCGAGTCTTTCACTTGTCTAAGAGAAAGACAAAGAAATTTTACAATTTCCCTGTTCATGTTTTCTCCTTCACTACAGAAAAAAGTGCAGTTCATCTGCACTCTTGTATTCCTTTTATGGGGTTTCCTGGTTCACTTGATCATCCCAGCCTTTGTATTCATGACCATTGAGGACTGGACTTACTTGGAAGGCCTGTATTTCTCTTTTACCACCATGACGACTGTTGGTTTCGGTGACTATGTAGCAGGTATGTACATTTGTACATTTTTGCTGCATGCAACATATAAGGTTTCTGTGATACATTTATATCATGCACACTTGCACAGATTAATACACAAGCTGCAGGACAAAGCACCAAATGAGAGTAAAAGTCAAAAGATTTGAAACGGTGTTACTTGCCAGTTGCCCCGGTAATTTTGACAATGCATGGTAGTGATTATGATTTAGTACAATAATCAAATCTCAACAGTTGTGATCTAATTATATAAATATATAGTGTGATGGGGGTGCATGTTTTGCCTTGGTAGAACTGTAACAGTACTGCGTTTTCAGTTTCGATTCACAGTAAATGCTACTCTGCAAGTGTTATGTGTTTGATTGATTCGCTTATATGTTTGGAAGTGCAACATTCACCTTGAGAATCGTTTCTAAATCTCTTGTTGTATCAACAAAGAGAGGCGATATTGTCTCCCAGCAGTTTTCCGCCAAAATAAAAGCTCAATGATTTAACGTTAGTAAAATTAATAATAATTATAGTAAGAATTAATAAAATGTATAATAATAATAATAATAACTCTAGTAATACTTTTGTTATAACATATTGTATTATAATATAATATCATGATTATTAAATATATATATATTTTTTATTATTATGCATTTATTCATTTTTTAATCCAATTCTGGAATTGGATACTTAAGATAAGGAATCAGATACTTACATAAAATGAAATTTTCAGTTCTGCTTATTGATTTCTGTGTGCGCAATTTAATGTTATTTTTAAATCGTTCAAGCGCACAAATATGCGAAAGAGAACTCAATTCGGCACTTGCGTGCTGTTTTCTATGAGCAAACATCCACACAGAAAGCCGACACTGTGTTCCATGCATAATTTTATGATATCTATGTATGTGTTTACAGACAAATCATATAAAACAGTGAATCAAATCACTCTGGATGGAACTCTGTTCTATCGTGCTTGCAGTCGAGACTCGAGATGATGATGTGAGCTTCTTCACTCCTATTGGTTGTTGCTCGCGAAATTCGTTTCTCATTTGCATAAAGTTGACATTTCTAAACTTTTGTCGCGTGTCTCTCGTCGCTTGACATGCCCACATTCTGTCGCCAACGGTCAATGCCGCTCGTGTTGCCGGAAGTTGCCAGCCCTCCATTGATATGAATGGGATCGTGCCACTTTGTCGCTGGCGGTGTGAACGGGGCTTAAATTAGCATATAGGTGTATGTTTTGAATAAAGGAAATTCTCTTTTGTTCCTGTATAGGTGTCAACCCAGAAAACAACTACCCGAATCTCTACAGATTCTTTGTGCAGCTATGGATCTGCCTGGGTCTTGCCTGGTTGTCACTGTTCTTCAGCTGGAATGTGCATATGGTGGTCGAGGCTCATAAAGTGCTGAAAAAAAGGAGGATGAGACGCTACAAGCTGCCCATTGATGACGTCCCGGATAAAAAAGAAGTCAAAAAAGCCCAGAAGCCGCCGGGTCTCAATGGCGCCATCGACATCTTTGAGTTCATGTCTGAGAAAGTTGAAGACTACACCGATGTCATCCAAGCTATCGGAGCAGCCGAGAGAAAGAAAAAGAAGCAGGAGGAAGAACTGGCACGGTCTAAGAGCTGCAGTGACCTATTGCAGGGCCTGATAATCCCACTCGATCACTCTCCTCGACTGAAACGGCGGTTCAGCGTCAGTGCGAACATGCGCATGGACATTTCTGGAGAGTTAACGGATTGCCTCAACAATAACCAAGAGGAACAGGCATTACTGAAAAAGCATCACAGTGTTCAAAAAGACCCTAAGATTGATAAAAAGGGAGTTAAGAGAGCTGAGAAGCCTGGACTCTGTTCATGGGAAACCAGAAAATCTGACCCATCAATCTTTCAGAGCTCTGTTCAAAGCCCTACCGTTACTACCAGTAATAGGGGTTCGAGATTCTCAGTGTCCAAAGTCTCAGAAGACCATTTAGTAGGAAAGAGAAAAAGCATTGGTTGAAGAAGAGACCGATCTTCAATGTCTTCAAAAACAGTTCAGCTCTGCTTTAAATCTGTAGTGAGGGAACAAGATTCTCCACGTCTAAAGTATTGAAGACTATTTGTTAAAGTGAAATAGCATTGGTTGAAGAAAAAGCTTATTTACAAGGTCTAAAAGACTGATCTACAAGGTTGTAGATCGAAAGGTTGATCCACAATTTCTTCAAAAGCAATTCAGCTCTGCTTTAAATCATCAGTAGGGGATCAAGATTCTCAGTGTCTAATGTATCAAAGACTATTTGTTAAAGAGAAAAAGCATTGGTTGGAGGAGAGACTGATCTACAAGGTATGAAAGACTGATCTACAGTGTCTTCAAAATCAGTACTAGTGGATCAAGATTCTCAGTGTCTAAAGTTTTGGTAGACTATTGGGGAAAAGAAAGGGCATTTTTTGAAGGAGAGACTGATCTACACTGTCTTCAAAATGAGGAGTAGGAATCAAGATTTTCTGTGTCTAAAGTTTCACTAGACTATTGGGTGAAAGAAAGGGCATTGGCTGAGAAAGAATGATCTACAAGGTCTGAAAGACTGATCTACAATGTCTTCAAAATCAGTAGTAGGAGTCAAGATTCTCAGTGTCTAAAGTTTCAGTAAACTATTGGGGAAAAGAAAGGGCATTGGTTGAGGAAGAATATTCTACAAGGTCTGAAAGACTAATCTACAATGTCTTCAAAATCAGTTGTAGGAGTCAAAATTCTCAGTGTCTAAAGTATCGGTAGAATATTGGGGAAAAGAAAGGGCATTGGCTGAAGGAGAGACTGATCTACAATGTCTTCAAAATGAGGAGTAGGAATCAATATTTTCTGTGTCTAAAGTTTCACTAGACTATTGGGGAAAAGAAAGGGCATTGGCTGAGAAAGACTGATCTACAAGGTCTGAAAGACTGATCTACAATGTCTTCAAAATCAGTAGTAGGAGTCAAGATTCTCAGTGTCTAAAGTTTCGGTAGAGTATTGGGGAAAAGAAAGGGCATTGTTTGAAGGAGAGACTGATCTACAAGGTCTAAAAAGACTGATCTACAATGTCTTCAAAATGAGGAGTAGGAATCAATATTTTCTGTGTCTAAAGTTTCGGTAGACTATTGGGGAAAAGAAAGGGCATTGGCTGAGAAAGAATGATCTACAAGGTCTGAAAGACTGATCTACAATGTCTTCAAAATCAGTAGTAGGAGTCAAGATTCTCAGTGTCTAAAGTTTCGGTAGAGTATTGGGGAAAAGAAAGGGCATTGTTTGAAGGAGAGACTGATCTACAAGGGACTGATCTACAATGTCTTCAAAATGAGGAGTAGGAATCAAGATTTTCTGTGTCTAAAGTTTCGGTAGACTATTGGGGAAAAGAAAAGTCATTGGTTGAGGAAGACTGATCTACAAGTTCTAAAAGACTGATCTACAATGTCTTCAAAATCAGTAGTAGGAGTCAAGATTCTCAGTGTCTAAAGTTTCGGTAGACTATTGGGGAAAAGAAAGGGCATTGGTTGAGGAAGAATGATCTACAAGGTCTAAAAGACTAAAGAAAAGACTGATCTACAAGGTTGCATATAGACTGGTCTAAAATGTCTTCAAAACAATTCAGCTCTGCTTTAAATCCTGAATTTTCAGATGTGAAGATCATTAGATTGAACTGATACTAGAGGAGCTAAAAAGAGTAACTTCAAGACCTAAGAATGTTGCTCTGATATGCAGACCGTTGTGAAATCAAGCTGCAAAATTATTCATTTCTTTTCACAGTATTGAAAAACATTCAGGTAACACACATGGTCTTGCAGACAGTCTGCCCAAGATAAGGATATGAGGGTTGGCAGAGGAAATGAAACCGATTTCCTTCCATGCCCTGGACCTTCACAGACTTTGGACAGTTTGGGTGTGGTACTGTGGTTTTAACCATGGGTTTTTCATTCTTTCTCTGGATTTATGTTACCAAAATGACGGCCAGGACAAACATCTGGCTATGTTTGAAATGGAATACTAGCACCCTGCTAACTGTGCAGTATATACAAAGTATGTTATATAAAGTTTTAAAGTAGTTTAAAATAACGAACGGTCTTACAAACACTACTTGGTCGGACCAGATAGCCCTGCCCTGAACTCAAGCCATTGGTTGAGCCAATATTGCTGTATCGGGATGCTCAAGCAAACAGACCAAAGTTTTGATACCATTGCAGTGTTTTACAGTATTGTCAGATGGAAACAGTTAAATATTAAGCTGAAATTGTCAATATCCATATTTAGTATAGTATAGATAAATATTAAATGATATCTATTGAGCCGGGAACTTCCCTTTCAAAGTAGTTTGTGAAACAGAATGCAGTATGAGTATAATGCTGTTTTTGTCACGACCTCGTATGTAGAAATCTGTGTTTTATCCAGTTATCATTTACAAGTTAAGGTTTTACCCAATTTTATGTAAACAAACAGTACATTCTGATCCCGATAAAATAACTTTTGTTTGAGAAAGGGCTGTTAGAATTGTGCGTTTGATTGTGGTTTCAGTTTATTTCTAGTCAAACTGGAATTGAAAGGTCAAGTTTATCTCACTGTGGTCCCACACATTTTGTAGATTGCTTTTGCATACTGTAAATAGCATGCCATATAGTTAATGTATTTTGAATTCTTAAGCATACCTTGGTAAAGCTTCCTTTTACAGCCCAGTTACCCATGTAATACTATGTAATTATTTTAGTAACTACAATTACTGGGTAATAACTAGTACTAACCCTGAACCTACCCCTAAACCTACCCCTGTTCCATGTACTTTCTAGGTAAGTACACTGTAAGTACTGTACTGTAAAATGAAGCACTACCCATACCTTCTGTCTTGAATGCTGTGGCTGTTCAACTGTTTGGATGCGTGTAAACATGGGCCGACTGAGGAAGTACCTACTCAGGCTTCCAGAAAATTGCCTCCTCATGAAAGATTTGTCTGTGGAAGATGTTATGGGACGTAACTTGATCTTACCACCTGACTGACTGATTTTTATCAAGAATTTTGCTTTCCATTCTTTTTGATTATCCTTTGTATTTTCTGTTTTGTTTTGTAAACCACTTTTGATAATAAAAACAATATTTTTTCACATTATGGCTCTTTTTGCTGTTGCCAAACCTCCTTCGGCCTGTTGTCAGAAGTGACGAAATAAGTTTTTAAGCAAGACTGAGCATGATGAACACCTAAGTTCCTATTAGTTAAGTCCTTCTCATTTGCACTTACAACATTTCTAAAAACATTTATCTTCTCAGTAGGATAAGCTATAAACGTGCATTTGAATGCCATTATTAGTTATCTGTAAAATTGTTTTTCCAAGCATAGTAAAGTTCATAACATCACTAATGATTGCATAAGTGTTTTTAAATTCAGATTTTATTAAATGTTCACATTGTTCAAAGATTAAAAATGAACCTGAATCAGCGTTAACATACATAATGCAGCATTTACTTCCACAATATGAAAACAGATGACAAAAATAAACGAGTTAAATTACTCCGATTTGCATCAGTAATATTTAGGCATCAGTTAAATGGTTACATTTAGACAGTCTTCAGCAGCCCTACTTTTTGTATGTTAAATATTTTGCAACATTGCTGGTGTGAAACAGTTCTTATATCCCTTGATAAAACAGAATTATGTATATGAACTTGCGCTTTGGTCCTATATTTATTATGAATGTATTCTCTTGATGCTTCAGCTGTTACCATGCAGTGCATATTTGCATTTGCATATTTGCAAGTCAAGTATAAAGGCAAAACCTCAAGTAGTTTGAATGCTTATGCAACTGCCAACAGTACAGTTATAGTTATGCTACGATGTGAATAAACAATTGGTACAGATGGCAGTGCCAATGGCAGTGGGTCAGTTCTGTAAGGCGTCTTTTTTTTCCAGTCGGTCACTGTTCTCAACACTGCAAAAAAACAGCAGCTCCATTACTGATATCCTGAGGATTATCGCAGTTACTAAGTGGTCAACAGCACCTCCAACATGGAGGATTCCTGTACAGTTGAAATTAAGGTGCTGTCGCATTTACGTTTAGTAGAAATTCCATGGACGAAATAGTCATTCCAGTAGTAATCAACGCGATTGGGAATTTAGCTTGAAGCGCCAATGACTTGAAAATTCCCCCACGCGGATTTCGCATCGGATTCATGATTTTGCATCAGACGCTAAATTTACTGCGTAAACCGATATTAAGCTGCTTGTTTTAGAAGTGACTACTAAGCAGTGCTTCATGCATGGACATTGAATGATAGACCTACTTTGCCCACAAAATTTCGATGACATTTCGTTAACGTGACTGCGACGTCACCCACTTCTTTCGGAATAGTTCGCTCAAAAATCAAACGTTCTGTAATAATTTACTCCCATTCATGTCATTCTAAACCCTGTATGACATAATTGATTAAATAAGGCGTGTCAAACTCCAAAATTGACACACAAAAAAGGTGTATCATAAAAAGCACATGATTTTTGTACAAAATTGCCAGTTTTCTGAAGCCTAAAGATAGCTGTATGTGATGTACGCATAGCAATTTAAGTTGATAACCTTGACATCAACTGAATCTGATCATTCCCGTTGTTATTTCTGACTATTATCAGTGTCCTTTTTGAAGTCTGATGAGATCCAATTGAATAATTGAAATTGCATGGAAGAGAATTAACATTATTTAAATGTTCTCCCTTTGTGGGGTTTGGAGTGACATGAAAGAATAAATTAGGATTGAATATTCAATTTAGTGTGAATAAATCCTTTAAATTTACTCATCCTAATTCCCACTAAAGCCATGGGTGTCTAAACTTAGTCCTGGAGGGCCACTGTCCTGCACAGTTAACCTCCAACTTCCCTCAAAACACCTGCCTGGAAGTTTCTAGAATGCCTACTAAGACCTTTCTAAGCTGGTTCAAGTGTGTTTAATTGCAGTTGGAGCTAAACTTTGCAGGACAGTGGCCTTTCAGGAGCATGATTGGACACCCCTGTACTGTACAGATGACCAAAAACCACATTTCACTGCTTCCCCCTATGGATTAAGGAGCGTGTGCCACTGGCAGACCTGCTGTCCCTCTGACTCTTTCATCTGGGTCCAGTGCTCCTCTTGTTCCTCCGTGGTGCTGTTGAGGCCCAGAGCGACCCAACCAACCCGCTCTCTCCTCTTCATGCTGCTCCGCCTACTGTACACCGACACCTGCAGGGTGACCTCAGATAACTGGAAGAGAGCCACCTGGAAGACAAATGTCTCTTTGTAGCTTGGGTTGGGCTGGCCATGGCAGACTGAGGTCTTACATTTGGACATCTCTTTCCCTTTGGAGTCCACCATTGTAAGCTTCACATAAGTGTCTGTGGGAATGTGAAGGGAAAAAGTCAGTTGGCTCCACCTGGTGGTGATGTTGAGCCCATGCAACAAGTCAAACATGGGCTATGTTCAGAAAAAAAAATACTAGCTTACTATTTACTGAAGAATACTGTATACTATTTGTAATCATCTTGCAAGTGAAACAGTGGACACTATAACACGATAAATATTACAGTATTATGCAATATTATCACATGACTTCATCACCCATTCATTTTCATGCATCACAAATCTTAGCACATTGGCAAAATTTGTTCCCTCCTCCAGTCAATCAAACCGGCTCGGACTACCTGATCCACTCGCTCAAATGTAGTAAACGCTACACAATGGCAAGTGGAAATAATTGGTTTAATTCATCGATAAATGTTTGAACCAGAAAATGATTGTGAAGAAGAAGAGAAAGAGCGAATTATATCTACAAGTTAATGTATCAGAATGCTAATGCATATATGTAGCCTATCGCTCTCTACAATGCTGGATATGTTACGGTAATTGATATGATTAGCCTTGGCTTGACTATGTTATTAAACAGCTAATAATGTGATGCTAATGTTCTACAAACCATGTTCCCATTCTCAAAGTAAAAAAGCTGCTTTCTAAAAACCAGCATCCTGAGAAACGCTTTCAACAACTTAGAAAGGGATTGGCTACATGTCTGTGACGGTAGGAAACCACTTTTTTTTTTTATCTGTTTTTGGTACACTCCAGTTTTGAAAATACTCAGCAAAGGTGTTTACTGATGAATTTCCACATGGTTTTTTTTAAAGCACATTAAAAACGCCACATAGACATACAGGGGTTGGACAATAAACAACTGGTCAATATAGTGTTGAAGTTTCAAAAGTTCAACAGAGGACAAATTGTTGGTGCAGGTCTCACTGGCTTATCTGTGAGCCGCCGGACAGCAGGGGCCTCATTTAGAAAACTTTGTGTAGGATTTGAAATAAACTGCACAATGAGGGAATTCTTGAATAAATAATATATTTTTTCCACACCTTTTGTTGTGAAGATGATGCGTTCACTCAGAATCCTTCCATTTAATTTCCACATCTTCTAAGAGCGCAATTTCAGCCATTGTGCGAAATTATATGCATTGTGATGGGGCATTTTATTTACATCCATTTAATTGCATCTGACGAGCAGATGTCGGTTATAATCTACTTGGAAATGGGAAACAGTTCAGCGCAAATGTAATTTCTTGCAGCTTTCTGAATGGTTGAGACATACGTCATACGTTATTTTATCAAAAATAAATCAAACTAAAGGCATATGCATGAATACCATGATTCCGTAGCGGATGAAGACATTTTTACGATGAAAACAACTTTCCCCAGTGGACAAACAATCCATCCATCCATCCATCTATCTAATTATCTATCTATCTGAATATCTAATTGCATCTATATCTGCTCCACCAGACGGACACATTGGCGAGAATAGCAGTTTTGTACATTATTTCGTTCTGTTTACCATTTTATTTATGAGGATGAATTGTATAACATGGCAATATTATTGCAGAACATATTTCACTTTTCTTTTTGGAAATATGTGTTAATTTGCATTTCTGTTGCAGATCGATCAAACGGGTGTTCGTGTAGGCTGTTAATAAGACTTGCTTTTTGAAGTCTTCGTGTTATTTATGAGAGGCAGTATTGCCATTTATTTTACACAACGGTCTATAGTTTCACACACTTTCACGTGTTTTTTTCTATCCGCCGACGGTGTCGCCATTTCTCATTTCAACCGTTTTTGTGCGTACGCCTGGGTCAGAGCTTGCGTGAAGGACCGCACATTTTCCCGTCAAGTTTGCTTTTTATAAATACCAATTATTGCGTAGAGAGCGGCGTACGCCTTCTTTTGTGGGTACGCAACATTTATAAATGAGTACGTTTTTAAGTACCTAAACTTGACATAAACTTGACATAAACTGTAAACTTATGCCTCAAGGAGAAGTTTTTCCTTCAAGTTTTCCGCATAAAGACATTGTCAAAACGATCCCCATTCACACGGATCCACGGAAACGACAAAAACCCACTGTTTTCTGCTGCCAGACCATTATATGGTGATGCAAAACGATAGACTGAACACATAATACGCATGTGCATGACTTCATCGTCTTCACAGATTCACGTTTTTGTTGTTTACACGAATACCGTTTTCTTGAAAAACTTGCAATTTGAAACCCGTTTTCAAAAGTTTGCAACACTGTTGTTGTGTAAACGAACGGCCAAAACTCAAAAAAGGTTTTACGTTTTTTTACATTTAAGTTTTTTTTCTTTTCGTGTCATGTAAACAGCCTCTTAGAGGTGCCAATTCATGTGTGAAAATTATTATTCATGCTCCTTCCAACTATTACAATTTGAGCCTAATGATTCTTGACATTGTCATCCTGGAATATCCTGGCAGTGTATATTCTACAAGATCTACAGGACACGGCTCGCAAATACAGTACAAATAAACTTTACTGAAAGTCAAATGTTGAGGCAATGTTGAGGCACAGCAGGTAAAGATGGAGAGTCTGTTAAGCCTGGAACACACCAAGCCGGCGCCATATGAACAGCCTTCTATCTGTACCATTTTGACTTCTTTGCTCGCTGTTTTGCTATTATTCTCGTGCATTGACTCGTTCACTAAGCTGAACAGCCAATCAGAGTTCCCTCTTTCACTGACAGCCTGATGGCAAATTCACCATGTCGAATTGGTCGAAAAAAAGCAGACAAGGACCAATTTCAGCCGACAGTTTGGAACACACTGAGAAAACTTAGTCGGCTAACGCACAAAAACTCCCCGACAGCCGACCGCCGGCTTGGTGAGTTCCAGGCTCTAAATGGGTGGTTTTGACATTTTGACATGGCAATAGACTTACCTCTCATGATATACAGTTGCCCACTAATGAAGTGTTTTACACAACAAAACAGGCCAACTACAGGACAGGACACAGAAAAAGGAATATGATAGAAAATACAGTGACAGATAAAAAGAGAGCAGTTAAATTTACAAGCAGAACAGAAAAAGGAAGAAAACATTAAGACTGCACATGCATGAATCGGGGTTGCTTTTAAAAGGATTCTTACTTGGCAGTTTATCGGTGGCAGAGTTTTTAAAATGGTTGCCCTTAATAACCTCGGCGGACAGTCTCCCTGTGGTGGAGTTGTAGAGGAGACCCAACAGAAGCTCCGGAGTGGAGGATTCACCAGTTGAGCGGTGCGACAGAGCTCCCGCACTCCGAGAGACGCTCACCACAGATCCACAGCCCTGAAGAACCCCCAGTGACATTACCATTATAAAATGGATTGTTATGACTCTGAAACCTGATTGGCTACGGAAAATGTATCCTGCATGCACACAAACACTGCTTACAGGAACTGAAGTGCCAGGCTCCAGAGTGACAGGAAGAGCGAGCTTGCCCCGCATATTGAGTTTGGTTAAGTAGAACACCTTCTCCCCCAGGACCTTCTCCTTTTTCATGCGCCGCACACTGTAGAGACGAAACCGGACTGCGTAGTCCCCCAAGGCCTCCTGCTCCACACATGAGAACCGAAATGTTTCTGTGAAGACGGGACAGGGTCCCTTCTGGACTCCTGTTTTGGCTCTCTGCTTTTTGGTGGGCAGTAAAACCAGGTGGACCTGCCAGGAAATGTTTCCAGTGCTCTTAAGTGTTGGGATATCTGTGGCAGCGGTCACTGTCACCGCAAGCCGTTGTTCACCAGGGTCGTATTCGAAGGCCACATCCAGTGTGCCATATTTGCCCAATGCCTCTGGTTCATATGTTTCTGGAAGGGGAGGGATTAAGCTATCCTGTCGGAGAAAAGGAAAGACGGGGAAGGTTTGATGGGGGAAATGGATGTGTATGTAAAAAAATGAACAGCTCAAAATTCTTGAGGGTACCTGTGTTGGTGACATGACAATTTACTGTATATGATGGTCATCAATGTAAAAAATACGTTTATAAATCATTGAGACTATATATCAACAATCCACACTGCAATGTGCTACTGAAACCGTTATGATTGGGAATAAAATGATCAGAAATCTTGTTAGGAATTAAGGTTTTACCATATGAGGCAAATGCTACACACATCCAAAACAAAAGCTAACATAACTTACAATATTATATTGATCATAGACTGTTTCTTAACACTGAATAGCAAGCTCAATGCATTTTAGACCCCATTTACACCTGTATTTAGTGTTGTCTTGTGATATGATCGACCAAAACTCATCCTAATGTACCATTAGCGGTAAACAGTGCCTTGATTTCAATAAATGCTCTTTTTGGACTGGAAGTAAGTTTTGAGTTCTGAGATTTACAGTATAGAGTTATATGATCTTTGGAGTAGCCTGAAGTAGCCTGGCTTTACGTACAAGATGTCTTTATCTGCATTCAGGCTTTCAGTGTCTCCAATCACAAGCAAACTCAAAGGAGAACTTACCAGAATGAACCAAACCTGCCACAGCCTGAGAATCCATGAACTGTCGTCCTTGCTCCTCATAATTAAAACCATCAGTGATATGACTCATTCATGTGACAATGAAGTGATATTTTAATAAACAGCTGAAAATGTTACTGTTACAATGGTTTCTAAAAGAGAGGACACTAGTTAATGGGAATCCAAACAGACAGAAATGTAAAAAAAAAAAAAAAACTTGGAGAAATGGATGACAGGGGCCAATTGCATAAACATAGCCATTGGTTTTAAGGTGCTCTAAGCGATGTCACACATTTTTTTTTGTCACATACAGCAAACATCTCCTCAGTATCCGGTAGCTACCAGTCCCCTGAACACATTGTAAAAAAAGCGACCTCTGTAGACAGCCCAGGCTCCACAAACAGCAACAAAAACAAACTGAGGCAACCCACCCCACGAAACAAAACAGTGTTCCAGCCAATAACCGACAAGAATGGTAAATGGACTGCATTTATATAGCGCTTTCATAGGCCCAATGGTCACCAAAGCACTTTACATTTGCCTCACATTCACCCATTCACTCACCGACAGCGGTGTCAGCCATGCAAGGCGCCATTCAGCTCGACAGGAGCAGCTGGGGTTAGGTTTCTTGCTCATGGACACCTCGACACTTGGTCAGGTGGAACCAGGGATTGAACCACCAACCTTTTGGTTTGTAGACAATCTACATGAACCACTGAGCCCCTGCTGCCCAAGAAGAAGGGTTTGGGGGTGGGGTTAGTGCATGTACATATTACGGGGGTGTGGAGGAGAGAGAAGCATGAAGGGGGAAGTTAGAATTATAACTCTTTAAGTTTGATATGGCCGACACACGACTAAAGAGACAAAGTTCAGATGAACAGATTGCAAAAATGCAAAGAAGAGGGAAAAAGAGAAGGAACGCGCAATTGTCCCAAATTTACATTGGAAAAGCCTTTGAAAGGTGGCGAGAACTCCGCCGGCAGAAGGGCTTCCAATCCGGCAGAATGTTCATTCAAAATTAATTGGAATATTCATTCATAGCCTATTGACAACTTTGACTAAATTTGTTTATGACGAAGCCGTTGTTTATGCTCACTGGGAAACGCGAAGCTAACTATATATATCTTGCTATTATTGTGTCCTTGTTTGGGAGCTAAAGTTATAACCTTAGGTGGCGAAACGTTTTATGGCGTTTTTCTGGTAATGTTTCTCTTTTTCTGCATTATATGAAAGCATTTATCTAACTTGGCGACGTTACACCTTGAATGAATTATCAGTAAAACCACAGGGGTAGGGGATGGGATGAGGAGGAGGGATGGTCTAGCTAGCCTCGAACGTCAACAAGAAGTGACGTCACCCAACATCGCTTAGAGCACCTTTAAGACTGTGTCTTAAGAACTAGGATGCAACTAGCAGTTAGTTAGGGGTAATCAGTCTTACTTTTTGGTTTCAAATTAGACCAATCTACATTTTTATGTACCTGACTTGATGGTTATGAACAGTCTTGATGACTACCTTGTAAGAATAGTCTCAGCAGTTTATGCATTCGGCCCCAGGTGTCTTAGTTTATAAGTTTGGCATTGCATAAGCATTATCGTGGATGAACACAATATTACTCAAAGAAAAGAAAATGGAATAAAAAAACAAATCTCATGTCAAAAAATAAGGGATTGGTGAAAAAGGTAAAAAAAAAACATGCAAATATTTGTCACAACATACACTGAAGTGAACAGCTCTCTTGGAGACATAACAACACTGTGTGAGGATTTTGATAGTTTCATTGGTGAATAAGAGCATCGGAGGGTAGGGCCAGGATTCTCATAGAAGAACACATCGGAAACGACGGGAGGAGGCGCTCACCTCCGGGCCCAAAACGGCTGTGCTGTCACTGGGTGCGTCCTCCTCATAGCCCTTATTCAGGTAACTCTCTGTGTCCTCAGGGTCTTCACTGCCCTCACTTCCACTGCCCTCTGCCGAATCACTGCGGCCCCTTGAGCCACACTTGAGATCGTCTTTGTCCAGGTATGGTGGAGGCTGGAGTTCATTCAGGGAACTTGAACCTTTTTTCCTTTTAACTGGTTAGTGAGACAGAAATGCAAAAATGATTACATCCCGATTGCAGAATAATTAAGATTATTTCATCATTCAGGCAGTGTACAATATTTACCCTGCTCAGCTGAGGCTTCACTGCTGCAGTCCTCATTTTCATCATCCCTGTTTTTCCACCCACTTCTATGCTGGTGAGTGGACGAGTCTTTGTGTTTTTTTGGTGTTTCGTCCTCACTCTCAGATGATCCTTTATCTGGACAACCCCCATCTAAGAAAGAACAGAGAACTTTATCTACAGTAAAAATACCCTACTGAAAACTTTTTTGCAGATCAGTGGTATGCAAAAGCAGAGAGTCATTGTTAATTTCTCACCCTCTTGTAATTTATAACCCATACCCATGTTACAAACAAAACTATTGACACCAAACACAAAAGTAATGATTGTTTCCAAACAGGTTTCCCTCCTACTCCACACCCCAAGTACACTTCCAGTGTTTGAGGAAACAGGTAGTCCTGCCACAAACTGACACCACTTTTTAAGCTAGAAGTTGACAACCAATAAATGGCTCATTTAAAGCCATTGTCAATTTGGATGTATGAAAGTATTTTACAATGAACATATTACACTCTTCACCAATCAAAAAGGAAAACATCAGTAAAGGGAGACCATCACTAAAAGCCTGGGACATCATTTTAATGGGTGCATCTCAATCAGCTCCCTAGTTCAGTAGTCAGGCCATTATAAGGGCAATCTCAAAATCCTTCCAGTGCACTGGAACATTCGTTCCCTAAAAAAAAATCCCATAATGCAATTCAAACAGGACAGCAGCCTATTGAGGAAGAGATCCTCCAAAGGCGTTGGAGATGGGTTGGCCATACCCTTCGCAAGCCTGCATCAAGCATTGTAAGACATGCCCTCTTCTGGAACCCACAAGGGAAAAGGAAGAGAGGCAGGCCAAGGAATAGCTGGCGCCGTGACCTTGATGCAGATGTGAAGAGGTCTGGCCACACATGGGGACAGCTAGAGAAGTTGGCCCAGGATCAGGATGACTGGAGAGCCCTTGTTCGTGGCCTATGCCCAAAGTTGGGCGGTAGGCGTAAAAAGTAAGTAAGTAAAGTAATGCAAAAATCAAGGAGCATCGATGCTCCCTTACTGGAAATTAGGTCAAATTACTGAAGCGTGAAGCATAAAAATGTTCTACAACATTGTACGTTGATGTTGTCTGTAATCATGCCACTGGAAATTGAGTAATAACTGTCCCAATGTGTGGTGAACCAGGGTCCTAAACAGTGCCCGGATTCCTGTACACGATATGCTGTTCACAAACTTGGGAGCTGATTGAGACACATCATATGAGTTCAGTTCCAAGCCTGCATCAACACACATACAGTATTTGTAGTTATCAAGTATCTATAAAGATCTTAATTTGCTGGTTCAGGTGTATTTGATTAATGCCCAGTACACATTGTAGGGTTTTGGGCTATCCCAGAGGGAAGATGACCAATCGTGGTGATTTCTGTGGTTTTGGGGCCTACGTCATACAGTAAGAGAGGTTCAAAGCTGTCTGTTGTCATGGCCTTGTGACCAAAGATAGCCTGTGATAATTTTCTGACATTGTCAGCAAAATTGACATGTGTTTTGGGCGTAACGTGCAATAAACCAATCAGAGTCTCATCTCCCATTCCCTTTAAAAGAAAGTTGCTCTCGCGCCATGGCAGATTGCTATTTACATGGCGGTATTTGCAAGTGGAAAGACTGAACGCTTCTCTAGAGATTTTAAGGTTTCGCAAGGTTAAAGCACACAAGCAGACCATCTACGGGACAAGCCAGATTCCCCCATATCTTTATTAACACAATAATAATCCTTTCAATGGTAATCCTTTTAGTTTTAATATTTGACATGTTTGTGTGCTGCTGAGCATGAGTAATAAGCTTTGTGTGCCTTGAGTAGGCAAAGCGTTGTGGATCTGCCTAAGATAAATACTGCGCCGTTGACTTAGACCAGGTTTCAGTTGGTCAATGGTGCAGTCTATTTCAGTTGCCTCAAAATAGCAATGCACCAACCACAAGCCTGAACACACCACGTTATCAGACCAGCAGCCCATGGGCGCAATGCATTTGCTAATTAAACAACGTGGCTCAGGACATGAAAATGATAACTCCGTCGAGCTGAAACTACCAAAAAACACTTGCGTCACGCAAGGCGCCGAATTGCGCCGGATGTACTGTATGATAGGGCCCATCTATTCAATATGTGTCATCAATCGTAGTCTACATACATGTAATACAGTGTAATAATTTGTAATGCTCTTATAGGATTGCCGAAATCGCAAAGTCTGTAGCATGCATAAGATTGTAGGTCAAATTTTCAACATTGAACACCCGTGGACTAGGCCAGTGTTTTCAATCCTGGTCCTGGAGACACAAAGCTCTGGACATTTTGTCTCTCTAATCAAACACACCTGAACCAACTCATTAGATGATTAGTAGAGACCCCACAACCCGAAATGAATGGCTGCGTCCGAAATCGCATATTTCTTGAGTAGGTGCTTTTTTTGAATACATGTAATCCGGACAATCTACATTCGCCATGCTGTCATTTTCATGTGACCTTCCAGCCTCAGTTGCACCACTTCACTACCAATCCTCTCCTGTGGCTCATGGGATAGTAAAATGTCCATTGTGTGTGCACTTCAGAATCTGGGTACTTTTTGCCTACTCATTTGAGAGTACTGTGAATTGTGACATACTTCTTTTGTCACACACTATTTTTCGCCTAGTAGTAGGGACGTATGGGATTTCGGATGCAGCCAGTGTGTCAGAAAAGGGAGGCATCCAAAATTTGTACTGTTGGGAGCACTGTGGGTCCAGGGTTTGGGACCACTGCAATAGTCTCTAGTGGGCCACCCTGGTCACGAGACAATTTTACAGGTTGTCCTCCCCTTGTGACAGCTCAGGGCTGTTTCTCAAAAGCATTGTGAGCTAAGTTAATTGCAGATACCATTGGTGCCAATGGTTCAACAATCTACTTTAGCATGCAATGCTTTTGAGACACAGTCCTAGTCAGCAGAAAAACAGAAAATATTATGAAGAGAAAGGTTTTAAAACCTTTAAAACGCTGTCCATTTGTATGTGTCAATCAAGGGGTGCAATAAGAAAGCCAAAGAGAACCAGTGATTCTCTAACCAGAAGAGCACAGCAGCACAGCAAGTCCAGCATACAGTCTCACCTCTACCATCTTTGTCCTTCTTTGCCTTTGATTTTGACTTTGAGCTCTTGGACTTTGAGTCCCGAGTGCCCTCCTCATGTTCTTCATCACTATAAACTTGTCCTTTCTCCTTTTGTTTGGATGTCTTACCTTCTTCACACAATGCTTTGTCTTCATCTTCTTCATTTCCATCTTTTCGTCTGCCTTTAGATCGTGTCGTTTTCTCACATCTTTCAGAACTGTCATCTTCCTCAACACTATTGCGCTCTCCATTCTTTTCATACTTTGATACTGATGTAACAGGATCACCAGACAAGTCCTGTTCTTCCAGACTATCATATGGGTGCATCCCATTAGCATTTGCATTGTGGTTGTCGCCTTCATTTTTGTGTTTGCCGGACAAGGAGGCACTTTCTTCCTGAGAGGCAGACTTTACCTTTTGAGATGCCTGGTCACTGTTCCCTGTCTGGTTGTCTGTGCTCTGAGATGAGCTTTGTGGCTGGTTTGGGTCCCTCCTTTTACGATACCATCCTTTAGCAGGGGTGTAACACCACTCCCACTCATCCTCCTCAGCTTTCCTTGCTTCCTCTTGTCTTTTTTTCTCTCTCTGGATTTCCTCTTCATCTATTTCCATAGTCCACATTGAGTTCTTTTTTGATTTCCGGCTCTTTCGACTTTCCCCATCGATGTCTGCAGCATTAGCTTCTGTCTCCTGCCGCTTCAGCTTGCTGTTTCTCCTGTCCTTTTGGACTTCGTCAGTAGACCCTTCAGCCTCATTTTCATCCTCTTCAGTCTGTACTTTATGGATGATTGTATTGACCTGCTCTGTTAGTTGGTCACTGACAGTGTAGGTGACGTCACTCACCGCAGAGGACAAATCGTCCACAGCAGTCGAGACAGTGTTTGAGACAGAGTCCAGAAGGGAACTGACGGAAGGGAGACTCTGTTGGAAGCTCTTGAAAAATGCCATTTCTCTGTGCCTTTGTTATGTGTCTGCTAACTGACCGCAAATTCTGTTGAAGAGTCAGCTTGTACATTAATCTTCAGGATATTTCATCAGTAAAATTTTGTTTGTAAGCATCTCATATTTAAAGGGACACTCCACCCATTTGCATTAAGCTTTCCATTGTTAGAAACCCAGTAATACTATTGAATGGTCGTGAAACACTCTTTCCCCTGAGACGAGGGAAATCTGCTATTTACCTTTTTTCACTTCCTCCTACAATGACGCAAAAATCGTCATTTCACGTCATTGTAGGAGGAAGTGAAAAGGTGGAAATTTCTGTAAAGACTACAAGCACTAGTTCCCACCCTTTCAAACCTGCCCATAGGGGCTTGGACCAAATGCTCTAACAGACCGATCACACATCAGTGCCAGTGCGTTTGATTTTACCAGCAGAAACTTTTTGAAAATATGGACGAAGGTACTGATTACGCAGACGGATGCATTATGGAGGATTGGGATTACACATAGTGTCAGCCTTCTTTTTTGGAAGGTAAGCTATCTGGCTCTTGTTCTGTGGAGAAAGCCGAGTAGTAACTTTAGGGGTTACCGTCCTCTTTTTCCCGGACATGTCCAGCCGTCGATGTCCGGGATTCATCTTTTGCTTTCTGCAGTCGCCATTCATTGTTTACATGTACAGCTTTTGTTTCAATCCAACTGAATCCTGGACATCGATGGACATTGCTAAGAAACATTCCTACTCCTCCGTGACCGGTAACTTACGTCTCACAGTTGTCGCCACTCGGTAATCACGCCACCGGCCTCGCACCGTTCTCCACAAGGCCCTCACTCACCTCGCTCGCCACAGTAAACATGATGAATGACGACTGTAGAACGCAATAGCCGAATCCAGGACATTTTGGGCGATTTTTGGGCAGACTCATCACGGAGACTCACTAGACTAGCCTAGACTTGTTGTTTAACTACTGCGCTGTTACCGGTAGGCGTGGGCAGCGAAGCAAGTGCATTCTGGGAGTTGTTTTACATCCATATAAGCCAAAAAAATACATTTTCTGGCTTTTCTCAGTCTAGAAAGCTCCATATTCAAAAATAATTTCACATTTCTTGTACACAAATTACCCATTTTAAATACACATTCATCCAGAGGTGGAATGACCCTTTAAAGAACAACGATACACAGGGCATACAGGTGTTTTAAAACCTAGTTAGCTAACTTGATATAGGCTGCCAATAAGGCCAACCTGCTAACAGATCTACTTGCTTTCAATACTTTTATGAGCAAATTTTGGATTCAATCTTTTTGTCAACTAGTTTTCTTTCAATTACCACAGGTTTTGTATTTATTTTTTAAGTATATTTAAGTGCACCCAAGCCTTCAGATTTAATACACAGCCATATATAAAACTGAACAGTGAACGCATTGAAAACTCTCAAAATATTTACCTTGCAAATCCTTGTTAAAACCCTCAAAATGTGGCAAATCACTGCTTGGGCTCTCCACTGAAAGCTTGCTGCTGAGGTAAAGAAAAAACAGAGCGATCACGGCCATGAAGAAAGCAATGGAGGACAGGACACCTAGCAGTTCAGGAGATACTAAAGGAAAAAAGAGAAACAGAGAAAGAGAAAGCATAGGGTTGGAGGACAAAAGCTGAGAAAGTAAAGGTCAAGAGCTGAGAACTTGATCTACCAAGATAACAGATAAGCAATGCAGATGGTGATGGATGCTACTGTGATGACAGGGCAACAAACCATGGTATAATTTTCTTAAAAGGAAAAGTTACGTACTCAATGTCAAAATGGGACGAATCACACTGCCATTGCTCGATTACCATTATTTTTATTAACATGGACAGATGACAAGACATAAGCCTTTTATAGATGTTTACTAAACTTTCAAACAAGTTTTCAAAAAATTGCATAAGTTTTCATCACTGAGAGCAAGTTTTAACAACCATTAAACCCGTACAACTGCAAATCACCTATACATTATATACACAAGTCACTCTTTACAAGTGGAAAGTATAGACCCCAAAAAAATGTGAAAAGTTATGAACACAAATAAAGATCCTTCTATTTTGCAAGATAATAATATTTGAATATAAACCTTTAGTTAACCTCCTATTTAGAGTAGAAACATGGGAGTAAAGCACAGACTTCCTCTGATTCTTCAACAGACCATGAAATACATACGTCACAGTTTATTTAAACTAACAGTGCATTACGATCAGCAAAACTGTAAAAGCACTCAACACTCCAGCAAATATTACCACAATTTGCAGGTAGCAGGAGTCCATCAATGTGTCTTAAATCCAATTATCCCTTTGTTCAGTCAGCTCCGTATTCCTCATAGATCAGTTAAGCCATGATATGTAAAAGGTTTTGCCTTCTATCCCTTACAGCGAGTGAATCTATAGCTCCTGTCTTCAATCTATCTCTCCCAGTGTTGAATAATTCACTAGTCTAAGGTAATCGGATGCCCCTTGACACTTTGTGCACACAATACTATTGGACCTACCATTGGAACCTACCCTACATTAAAAGAAACTGGAACTGGATAGACAGGGATATAAGTGGCAAAACACATTTCCTTATGCTATAGATAGACAGAAATATAACCTGAAACACCACTAAATTCAGATTATAAAGCAGTGTTTGTAGTGCATAGCATTTAGAATAGCACTGAATAGCATTTTATACTGTACATGCCAAGAACAAATATCTTTGTACATGTACTTAACAGTATACTCAGATCTGTGAGTTTTGTGACCCATTTGTGACAATGCAAGCAAGTTTGCTAATCCAAATGAAATTAAATCCCGGCCGTAAGGCAAAGATATTTTACATTTCACCATTAATATTTCACCGCTGCCAACTCTTATGTAACTAAATCTTCCTCTTTACTCTGTGGCAGTTATAGACAGAGATAAAGACATGATTATTTAAATATCAGGGACTAAGTAGTAGAAATTGTGTTGTTTACACATAGGTCTTCCGGCTCGTAAGATAATCCTTTGCCATGAATTAATAATAACACTTGTTTTTGTTCACCAAACTCGATAGGTCATTCATAATTGATAGAAGTATGGGACAAGGGAGGTGAAGGGGTACAAATTATTTACTCATATTTTATCTATTTAAAAGTATAAAGCACTACAAGTCAGGCACAGTTGGTGCATGTTATCATGGAAGATGCTCTCACCTCGTCTAGCGCAGATGAGTTCATGAACACCACAGCTCCGCCCCCCACCTGAGGACAGGATACAGCTCTTTTAAGATAGCACTTGTGATAGAGAAAAAGCCTACTGACTCTTTGACGTCATAGCTATATATTTATGTAACTGACTTTACACTTCATATTCTACAGAGACCCCGTTCAAAATAAGTAGCTGTTAAAAATGGTGCAGTGGCATTTTGATTAATGAAGATGCATATCTCACTTATCTCACATCTCTCTCTCTCTCTCTCTCTCTCTCTCTCTCTCTCTCTCTCTCTCGGTGTATCATTACAGCCCACAGTGGGCTGTACTTCACCTTTCCGGCTCAAGCTATTCCATTTTCTTTCCATTAATATTGTCACATACTATTCTTATAGCAATAGTTCACCCAAAAATGAATCACTGAATCAAAATGTTTTTGTTTTTTTTTCTGATCATTTAATCACCCTCATGTTGTTCTAAACCCACATGACTTTGAAAACACAAAAGTACAATTTCAGAAGAATGCCATTGTCTGTCGATCCTTTCAAAACAATGAAAATTAACGGTATCTGAACGTTGCATACCACATAAAGTGGTAAGGTGCAATTGATACCTTAAACAGCTGATTAAAAACTTGTTTTGTTAGAATAAATTTTAGTTCAGTGATGTTTAATAATACTTTTGATTTGAATAAAATCAGTGTTACCATTTATTCAAGTGCAGATTCAAGAATAGATCATTCAGACTAACTGATTCATTGCAAAAATCTGCCTCAGACATAATTCATGGAGAACCACCAAGGAGAGCTTTAAAGTAACTTACTGTTAACCAAAACTATTAGATCAAGACAAACAAAAGTTAAGAATAAAAATAAAAATAATTACTTTTTTTTTTTTTATTAAAAATGTAAAAAGACTAATTTTGTGTTTCTTCAAAGAAATAGTCAGACAGGACAACATGAGTGGCAGTGACCAGATGTTTTTAAAGGCAATTTTGCTTTACTGCTAGTTTCTTTACTTACTCTCAGGCATTTACACTTCTAATTTTCAAGCCCATATGTAAGTTATTTGGTGTCTAGAGATTTTTTAAAATTTGTTTTATTTTATCTGAAAATGTAAGTTATTGTCAATCAGTAAGTAAGCCATATTGTAGCACTACTAATCTAACTTTACGTGGCCACCTGGCTGGTCAAAGACATGAACAACACAACAGACGGAGACCTCGATCACATGCTGTTATAAACACTGTCGCTTTCTAACGCGACGACATCACAACGAAAAAACTAACAGACTACAAATTAAGCACGCTGTAGCCTAAATGAAGACTTTAACCACTTCATTAAAACACGTTATCGTGTTATACCCTTTAGCTGTCATTTCAGAAGCGCTTACGTTACTACTCCATATGTCTGTCCGCAATGGTGCAGTAGCCCATAACCAGCTATTGCCACGTCAAAATACATTTAAACTTACACTTAAAAAAATAAAATCGCTTAGGTTTACCTTCCTATAAACGTCTCGCGCAAAGTACGTTCAGACTGACAGACTGTTACATGTTTTTAGCCATAAAGATCACGGTGTACTCTAGCCACGCTGGTCAGTTATGATACTCACCCTCAAACGCCATGATGCTGTGAATGGGACGCGATGAGGGGTGGTTTAGAGATGCGCGAGGAGGAGAGGAGAGAATCTGTGACAGTGTACTGGGACAGTGATGCATGCTGCAGCGCGCGTGACACAAACACACGCTGTAAAAAGTGCCAACGTGCAATTTTAATCGTAAAAAGCTATGTATATGTGATTTTAACCCTTACAATTGCTATCCCGAATTTCATCATTGGGATCATAATCTTTATGAGAGGTCGTTCAGAAAATGTAGCCTATGTGAAATGGTTTAATGACAAACACATTGGTATAATACATTACACACCAACTTTAGATAGGTAGTTTTAGATAGGCCTAAGCTACATCGGTTTGTTCAAGTAGCCTATATTTGGGTTTGTTCGTTTATACAACATTTTTTTTTTTTCAAATATAGGTGTAAGTATAAAGTTTGTTCAAATATAAACATAGTTTCCTCAAGTATGCAATGGTTTCCTCAAGGACATATTGGTTTGTTCAACTAAATATTACTTTAGATACATCGGTTATCAAGTGGTTTGTTTGAGCATATAGGCTATTGTTGTTTTTTCCCCAAGCATTTACATTGTTTTGTTCAAGTACATTGGTTTCTTAAGTACTATATTGGTGTCTTCAAGTATTGTTTTGATCAGTAAACATTGTATACTGTTTTTTTATTTCAAAAATTGGTTAAAAAATGTGTTTTCAAGTATAGTTACAGTTATTGTCATGATAGGTTGTAGGAAGACACACAACGATGAAGAATCAGATCAAAGCAGCCTTATGCTTCGTTCATGTGCTATGGAAAATAGGATATTTTCCACTTGTGAACTGGTATACCAGTTTCATTCTCAAATGAAACACAAAGCCTTAAATACAAGTAACAAACAAAGGGAACTAATTGACTTTATGCACAGCTGCACTACTTCCTGAACTTAAGCCAGCTCCCTTGTTTCCTGTCTGCCATTATTGGCCAAGCTTGATTAATTCAGGTGTGTCTGGTTATTGTTGCCGTGACTACTGAGGTCAGGCACACCTGAACTAATCAATTTGGCCAATAATGGCAGACAGGAAACAAGGGAGCTGGCTTAAGTTCAGGAAGTAGTGCAGTTGTGCATAAAGCCAATTAGGATACACCTGAACAGAATGACTAATCAAACGAGTAACCGCAGAAACTAACGACCTCCGGCAGGAAGGAAAACAGCAATGACATAAAACAAACTCAAACAGAACACAACTGTGACAGTATGCTCCCTCCTGGTGTTAAAGGAGGGAGGAGATATGTTGGAGATTTCTTTAATGAGGGCATGGGGATGACTGATGGTGACAGAGCCGATAGTGGTGGAGCCCTAGGTGCAGACGGAGAGGCGATGGTGGTAAAGCCACCATGTTCAGTCTACTATGTGCAGAATGTTTCTTTACATTACAAATTGGTATCACCACCTACTGGCCTGGCATACAGATTTTATTTTATTTTTTGTTATTTTCACTGTGATCATTTTGACAATGTTTTCATCTAGTACATGGTTGTCATGTAAAAGTACCCAAAGTAAAGAAAAAATCATATTTTAATAAATACTGCAACACTCCATAAAAAAGGTCATTCATTAATTTCATGGTGACTTCTAGCACTGCAACTATTAAACTGCATCATCACTTACATACTGAACAGACATTTAGCAGTTTTATATAAAAAAAATGAAAATCTTTATTGAAAATCAAAGTGTAAATTAAACCAAAAAAACTAATTTAAAAAAAAAAAAAAAAAAAAAACTTTATTTGCAGTTTTACCACACTTGTGTATTGTGTCCCAACAGGTAATCAAAAGTTCCACACACACACTTGTGGTCTTTTAGCACACTTGAACTCAATACAGGAAATATGTCATGTAAGTAGACGAGTGGTCAAGTGAAAAGACCACAAGTTATCTCATACTCTAAACATATGTCTTTATTGCATCTAGCTGATACCACTTGTGGTAAAGTTTGTTTTTCGACAAGCAAAAATAATAAGGCTATACGTTCCCTTTTTAAAAAAGAGCTAGTCAGTAAACCTTGTGTCATTTCCTATTGGTCAAGGTTTATAGGAAATGTTAATTCGAGTAAGGTCTGGTTGACCCAATAAATATATTATTACAAATAAGGTGAAGGAAATTTAATTTAAGATACTGCATACATTTTACCCAACTAAACATTTTCTATCCAAATTTATCAAATACATGGATGTAAATTGTTCATTTTGTTTTTTGCAACCAGAAACTGTACCTCATGTACCTTTTTGGCACTGTCAACACCCAAAGGTTGTGGTGGGAAGCTTCTAAATTTATAAATAACAAATTGGGATGTAATTTTCTTTTGTTATACGAACATGTAATATTTGTTTTTTTACAATATGAAAAGAGCATGGAAAAGGAAGCATATATTATTAATCTTTTGATTATTTTAGGTAAATTTCATATTCATCTGTGTAAATTTACTAATCAGAAACCTTTTTTTCTGTGCTATTGAAAGAATTAGATAATTATATGGTTTCCATTAAAGACAGTACAAATAAAAAAGCTGTTAAAACCCTTTATTTGTTGAATACTTTTCAGATTTTGTGAAATGTCAAAGCCTTTTATTGTTTGTTTGGTCAATTTAGTATTGTTTTCAGTCAATTTTTGTATTGTGTATTTGTGTATCTTTACCCCTGGCATTTTTATTTATGTACCTTTTTTGTATTATTTATTTATTTATTTATTTGTTCATGTTCTGTAATTGTTGTTCATGCAATTAAAAAAAAAAGAAAGAAAATACCACAAGTTTGGGTATTGGGACAGACCCTGAGTCTGCTCTAAACACCACATTCTTAAAAATAAAGTTACTCCTTTGATGAGAAATTGTAACATTCAACAAAAATCTGTGGCCAAGTTTAAAACACATTTTTATATTATATTATATTATATTATATTATATTATATCAAATTATATTATATCAAATTATATTAAAACACACAGTATCACAGAAAAATGTGAACCTGACCTATTTTAAATATTTTTACAGGAGTTACAAGAAACTGTGGCATGGTCTTGAATGGAAAGCTACGCATAGTTGTTCACAGTGAATAAAAATGCCCGGCTGTGAGTGAAAGCACAAACGTCCTGCGTCAAAAGGGAACTCCTCCTCCTCAGCATCAAACCCCCTTACATTTCCTCGATGTCTGACATTCATACAGCCCTGACTAAACATAGGAAGTTCAGCAAGCACACTAACATTTTTTAGACCTGTTAATAAGAAACAATGAGCGAAATAAAACCAGTAGCGGCTTCCACTGACAAAAAGGAATCTACAGCAGAGGAAAAAGACTGGGCGGCAGCTAAAGCGCACTTTGAAAGCTTGAAATCAACAAAACCGCGACCCGTGAGTATACTGTCAAAATCAACACGGCGTTATGCTAGGATTTGGTGCCGCTAACACTGTTTTTGGATGTGTCTTTTAACAGCCCAAGCCGAAACATGCAGTTACTATTGCAGTTTCATCACGGACATTGTTTGATATGGTCGCGGAAAGGAAGATATATGAGGAAGAAGGAGTGGAGAAGTATGTTCAATATCAGCAAGAGCACGAGAGCGAGCCACTGAAGCCAGGAGTTGCTTTTCCTTTCGTTAAAGTGAGAATAAATAACACTTCAACATTATAACAGAATCCACACATTTTTTTTTATTTGTTTAGGCTACTTAGCCACCTAACCAACTTTTACTCTTATGCTGCTATAATTTTTTTTTTATTTTTTTATTTTTTTTAAATGATCTGTCACACCCCTACTGCACCTTATTTTACAGTTTCGCATGAACCTTATTGTAATATGACACTGGGTAGTAATATTAGTAACCCTGAACCCTAAACCTTCCCATATAGGCTAGTTACCTTACATTAGCCTACTCAGTAGGGGAGAGCGGGGCACAACGTAACACTTTTTGACTTTCTCAGTTTGTGTAAATCTATTTAGGTTTTATACAGTATTTATTTTTCCCACATTAATTTCCCACATGTCTAGTACAATTATGTGATTTTGTTTTATTAATACAGTGTATACTTTTTTCTTGATTTACCCTGAAAGAATGGAAGTTAAAAGTGTCACAAACATGTGAGGGGCACATTGTAACATCACCATATGACAGCTTAAAATGCTATCTGATCTAATCAAAAAAAGTATAACAAAAATATTTTCTTAGTAAAATACAATTATTCACTCCTTCATATAAAATAATGGATTTTTTTTTAATAATTAAAAATAAAGTAATTTTTGAGTTTGACAACAAACACACCGGAAAACACAGCTATTTAGCATAGTCCAAAACATAATAATAATTAATAATTTCTGAACATTGACTCTCAGTCTTTATCTACATGTTTCTCAGGTTTTCTCAATAGAATCCATAAAAGTATAGAATATAGACGCTTTCAGCAGTAACAACATAAACAAACGGTACTGCGCATGTGCATTACTCTGGCCCAAACTTAACTTCCAGCAGACAATCCATAACAAGTAAATAACGTTAGTATTAGCTGGTATTTATTGCCAGTCAAAGAAAAGAAATGTTACTTGGCCAAACTGAAATGTGACACTACCAGACCTGTTTAACAAAAATTGGAAACAAGAATGTTTTTCTACTGACGTGTCTGATTTACCACAGTGTTAAAAAAACTGTGGCGAATGCGGCGGGGATAAAGTGCAACCATGTACACTGGAAGTGAACCTAGAACGCTTAATCTCCATTTGGAGAATATGCTTGTTCATTTGAATCGGATCTTTAATGACTCGATTGCTTCTGTCCAAAAACTCATTCTGAATGATTACTTTATGGCTCGGACCCAGTCCGAGAACCTTGAGAACCTTTTGGATGCCCCATCTAAAAGCATTAAAAGTATGTCTATCAAGGTTTTGCCGGATAGGGTAAAAATTAAGTTGCTTTAATATCTGAATAGCAGAAATGTTTCAAATACTGGAAAATATTTATGTAAACTTATGTTCAGTACACATTAGTTAA